AGTTATCTTAACATTATTCCTTGGAAATCATTATTCAATCTTTGGGGCTGATTCTTAAAATCACATCCACGCATTATTCTTACGCCTTTGCCAGCTGTTTCGATCCCTTTTTACCTTTGCTAATTCGTTCCTTTTTATTTTCCTTTTCATTGACCCAATATTTGATTTTCCGGTAACCTTGAACTTTGATTTCCTTTGACCGAGCTTGCCTTTGCTTTGCTTCAATTTGGCTGATTATACCTTTTTTTTGGTGCTTGAGCCTTTAAGCCTTTGAATTGTTATTTGCCAAGATTCCTTTCATATATTGGATCAGCGTGGGGTGTTAAATAGCACTTTCCACTTTCATTGGTCAGCTATTTGAGCTGTGCCGAATTGAATTTCGTAGTCTTATGCAAATCGATGCTTGCTGCTTCTCGCTGCCCGCTTGCCACTCCCCTAGTCACCCCGGCTCTCACCCAAAATGAAAGGCTGCCCATGCGATTTGGAGCGAATTACCGTTGTGGCTCGACTCAAGAGTTCCGCTAGAGAAATGTGAATTGGCTGCAGCTGCCGTTGCTGTTGCCGCTGTGGTTGGTGCTGTGGCTGTGGCTGAGAGAGAAAAACTGGTGCAGGCATCGCTGGCTGCCAATTTCACATTCTGAAAACCAGATAAAAAGCCACAAAATTTGCAATAATTCATAAGCCGGCAGCGAATTGCGATCRCACACACACACACGCACGCTCCAATGCCAGATATAATTCAGGTCTGCCAGTGTTGGGAATCGTGCAATGTCTGAGCTGCCACTGCCACTGCCACTGCCTCAGCCACAGCCGCTACCCAATTTAGATGCAATTTCACTGTCAACGGACCCCGATGCATGCAAGGGCGGTGCAGAATGCTGAACGAAATGAAAACGAGTTTGATCCGAAAGCGGGTCACCAGAACATAGCCGACAACAACAACAACAACAACCACACTCAGATCTGCTGCACCGTTTGCATAGGCCAACAGACAACCTGATCGTCCGGCCTTGCACTGCGCTTTCCAACATACAAAAATCACCTGTGTTAAGCATTTTACTGGTTGTCATCATTTTCCACTCGAACAAGTTTTCCCACACTCGAAAAAAAAAATAAAAATAAAAATAAAAACACAAGAATGAAAAACACGCATCACATTATGATTACAGTAATTCCTTTCTTGTTGCTGTTGTTGTTGCTGTTGCCATTGTTGTTATTGTTGTGCATGGAAGCGTTAAGTTTGTTATGCGCCTCCGTGCGCAGTTACGATTATTATTAGTCATGATTAATTGAAAGTTAATTGGGCACGCGAGTCGCATGCAAAATGCTGAAACAGTTGAATAACTAAATAACGCCGCCCAGTTGACTTAACGGTTGATTTATGATTCCGACTACGCGTGCACACACCGAGCACCGCACATCGCACTTCTCAGTTAGTTAATAACAATTTGTGGATTAATTGATGAGCCGCAATGGCCGCAAACGGTCGATTGGCTCGGTTCGCGGTTTTGCTGCTTGAATAGTTATTCATTTTATTGCAAATCATACATAAGCTTTATCGATGCGGTTTCAGTTGCCATTGCCACACGCCCAATGGGCCAGCAGCATATCTATACGGTCGATTAAGTTTGCATTACTTGATTGAAACATTACCGATTATCATGATAGATTAGACAACGACTGTGTTTATTTCACTGAACGAAACTGTTCTCTTCCTCTTCCTAGAATATTTTACTAACTTAATGCAGGCAGAAGCATAAAATGTGTTTTGGCTATTTTCAGAGAGGATTTTGATAGATATTTTTTATGAGATATAATTTATTTTATACAGCTTATTATCAGACAGCCCTTACTTTAATATCTTTTTTTTTATCTATTCCCAGCCCATATATTTTCTTCATTATTCACCTTCAACTGCATGTTCGCAGAGAAAATTCCAGTTGGTTTAGATATGCTGTCAGCTTAACATAAATAATCAAGCATATATTCTTTAAGCCTATTTTTCATTGTTGGATTATAAATTACAATAACAAATACAACTCGAGCCACGCACTAAATTGTCATTTTCTTTGAACTAAAATAAGTATTCAAATATATACACATACCCACATTTCATAAAAACCATGTGATATTGGATACATATGTATATATCTTATCAGCATAACAAAAGAAAAGCTTTCTCTTACTTTCGTTCAATTTCACAAAGTTTGTGTCTCAACTCTTTCGTTTAGCTAATGCACTCTTCAGTCGATCAGTGCCTTAAGGCGGAATTAATTTTCTGAGTGAGCCTAAAACTATGCAACACTTTCTTGTAAACGAAATATGTATCCTTCTGCGCTTGAAGATTTGAGTAATATTGGATAAAATATTCAAATTAATATTTATCTAAAAATATAAAAAAAAAAAAAAAAAAAAAAATAGGAATTGAATAAGATAAGAATAAAATTGGAAGTAAATACATATATTTTTTTGATATAATATTTTTTATTGAAGCCAGTAACCCGTTTGTGAGCTTATTGTCTACTTATTCTGCCCATTTGGGCGCGCGGGTAACTTGCATGAGCTCTCACAAAAAAAAAAGAAAATAAAATAAAATAAAAAAAAAAATGTATCTATAAATCTAGTCATGAAAAGATAAGTTAACAGGAATCATGTTATACACCTCTTAATACAATCCAAAAATAAATTGTAAAGCGTAATAAGCTAGCCATCGCCTTTGGGTACATTTAGCGAGTGCTTGCTGTGTTGCAGTGCCGAATTCTTCGTTTATAAAAAGAAAAGTTAAGATTTGTGGGATGACAGTGAATCTGTGATAAAAACCGAAAAAAAAGAACCGCCGCGATTCGGTCTACTAAACAGGCCTAACACAGATATAGAAATTGTAGCTTGGGATTAACAGCTGCGCCCAATGCCAATGCCATTGACTGTGGAGGAGGCGTGCAGCAAGTGGCATGAGGCATGAGGCATGAGGCATGTGGCAGTCACGCACGCAGCAGCGCGCTCTGTTTTACATGTGCAGAAAAACTCAATAGCTTAGAACGAGCTGCAAGTTGTTTGTTATAATTACAAATGAAATTGCAGCACTTGCAGCAATGGAGATGCAGTCGCTGCAGCTGCATAGATTTTCGGTTGCTTTCGCAGCAGCGAAATCACGAAAGCGCAGCTTCAATGGCCAAAAGCCTCTGGCCGCAGCCGCCAGTCCGACTAATTGGCGTGATATTTAGACTAAAACAAACTGCGTTGTTTTTTTTTTTTTTTTTTTTTGTTTTTGCTTGCATTATTACAATTTGTTTTTCTTCTTCTTTTGCTTTGATGAAATTCATCTGCTGCTGCTTGACATGCACCCAAGCGCAATTAGCCATCAGACAAACGGGCAGGCGGTATAAAATGCTAGCACTGCTCTAGCAAGCACTCAGTTGAACAACTTAAGAGCAGCGCCCAGCAACAGTTTAGCCATCACGCTGCAGGATATCCACAAAGGAGCTTAATACACACTCACACACCCAGACACAGTCGCACATACACACACACACACACGAGCACAGAGATGATCAAGTACATGTGGCATGTGGCAGCGCTGCTGATAATCTTCTGCTGGCTGCCTGGCTCTACGGCGCGCACGGCCAGCTACCACCACATCAATGGCCTCAGCGTGGAGCAACAGCAGCAGCAGCAGCAGCAGCAACAACAGAAAGTGCAACCGGCGGCACAGTCGGCTAGCTCGACGGGCCTGTGGAAAGACCTGTCGCTGGTCTACCGCATCTACCAACAGTGCACGGGCGAGAACCTGTCCGTGTGCCTCAAGGTCAAGCTGCTGACCGGGCTAGAGAAGGCCTTCCGCTCGGCCAAAACGTTGCCCCTGTTCGAGGGCATTCAGTTTGTGAGCAGCACGGATGAGGCGCAGAAGCGGTCACAGCTGCCGCCCATCACGGAGCAGGATATTGAGGCCGTGCTGCCGCGCGGCCTAGATGCCAAGGAGCAGATCCTCAACAGCATGATCATGAAGCGCGTGGCCACCTTCCTGCAGGATCACACGTTGCAGGTGAGTGTGGCTCAGCTTAGGCCAGCCTAAGTGCCCAACCACTGCTCCTTCTCTCTCTCTATCTCTGCCCTTCCCCTCTCACTCGCAGATCAAGTTTCCCGACTTGCGTGGCGTTGATAGCAACTCAGTGGAGGGACGCAAGAAAAAGGATAAGAAGGGCAACGGCGCTTACATCATGATCCCACTGCTGCTGGGCGGCACCTTCGTGCCCATCGCATACGGCGCTCTAGCCATGCTGGCGGGCAAGGCGTTGATCGTGTCCAAACTGGCTCTGGTGCTGGCCTCCATAATTGGCATTAAGAAACTGCTCAGCGGCGGCGGCGGCGGCAAGGAGTCCTCCCACGAGGTGGTCGTCTCCTCCGGCGGCCATTCGGGCTGGGGCCGCGACTTTGACATGGCCTACAGCGGCTGGAAGCCGGCCAAGGAGTCGTCGGGCAGCGCAAAGAGCCTGTAAAGCGGCCAGCCAACCAGCTGAGCTAGCATTTGCATTTGAGATGGAGTTCACCAAAGAAACGATTGCCGCATGAATTGTCTGAATAATCAATAATGTTTAGCTTAATTCGATTATCTCTATATACATATACATATACATATATACATATATATCTATGTGTAACGAACTAAATGTGTGTGTTAGGCCTAAGTAAGCGTTAATTAAATGTAGTAAACAATTTTTGCTTAAAGCTTCGCCTACCTCTTCTCAATCTTGAACAGCCCGGCCACGCCTCAACAGCGCCAGCTGAATTTATGATAACAATTTCAAAAAGTGCTTACGTGCGTGCTAAAAAAAAAAAAAAAAAAAAAAAAAAAAAAAAAAAAAAAAAAAAAACACTGAAAACGTCTTCGCTTTCTACCAAAAAGAGCTACATATAAAACTGCGAGCACATTTTTTAGAGTCGAATGCAATATTCATAGATCAAATATGCTCGAGCGTCTCTCACTTGCTTCAATTGTGTTGTAGTTGCCGTTGTTGTATTTGTTGTCGTTGTTGTTGTTGTTGTTGCTTTCAGAGGTATGCGACATTTTCACTTTTGCAGTCTGCACAAAATATTAATGAGCTGCTGGGCCAGCAAGCAGCCAGGCCAAAACGAGGTAGAACATTGAACCTATTCAACACAAACTGGGCCTGAGACTCATTTAAATACATTTCTCACGCCTAATCAAATGGCCTTTTGGCTGCTTTAATTGCTGACGTCACATTCGGGGCCTGGGCAACACTTTCATTAATTGAAAATTACTCAAGCCTGACGGAACAAGAGGTAGCCGGAATTCGCCAGCAAATGTCACAGATTGCGGGACAGAGGAGGCCGGAGGGGGCCTCAGGCTTGGCATGAAAGTGAAACTTTCAAAAAGGTGTCAATTCGGTAGACGGTAGACGGCAGCTGGAAAAAGGGTTGGGCGCGAGAGCTGAGGACCTGAGCGTGAAATGAAAGCAGTCGGAGCCATGAGTAATCGCAGCGTAGCTGGAGGAACTGAGCCCAGCGTCTAATGAACAGGATGCTGCCAAGCTGCTTCCTGAGCCGAGTCAATGTTCGAGCGAACATCGTTAAGTATCTTAAATATTTCAGTAAGTAATTTTGGTAAGCCAAAGCGCTTTAATGGCTTTTCTCTAAGACTTTAGCCGCTTAGCCGGCGACGCTTACATAAGCAAAAATCTCAGCTCGTCCGCAGCCATTCAAATGAAATCAAATACTATTTCACTTTCATTGCTTTTGACATGCAGTCAAAATAATTGCCCGAATCTTAAATAGCTGGCTAACAGCCGGCTAGTCGACCGACACATGCCCTACACACGATTCGAGGCTAGATGCGTGCTGCACGAGTGTACAACACCTCAGACCTGATAGCCTGATGGCTGATGGCTGATGGCTGAAGGCTGATGGGCATTCAAGTCACGTCACACGGACATCCATCTACATCTACATATACACGTGCACGTCATTTGCATATCCCATCAGCATCAGGCACAGCAGCTACAGCAACAGCAACAATAACAGTAACTAAACCTAAACACCTTTCGGCTCATCAACTATACGCTGTTTAGGCTACGCAGATAATCAGCTACAAAAAATTTGGCTTGCTTTGCATCTGGAATCGAGCATAAGTAGCGTGCAAATCTCAGCACTCAGCGCTTTCTTTCAGGTACTTGACTAATGCGTAAATTACACAAAAAGCGAAGAAGCAAAAAAAAAAAAAAAAACTGAACGAAATGAGACAAGCGAGAAAGCGCAAGTGTAGAGTGTTTGACTATGAAATACCCTTTGATAGACTTTTATACCTTGAACCCTTTAAATATGAGAAATCAGATAATTAAATGAGAAATCCATTTTTTTTTTTTTTTTTCTTAAATGTATTATTTTAATTAAGCTAGTTCAAGTTACTCGGCATTTAAAATAAAAATATATATAAAT